GCACATCCCACTGGAAGGAGGCCCTGGGGAAGACCCAGGACTTGCTGATGGATTATGTCCTGGATTAGGCCTGGGAACACCTCAGGGTCTCCCAGGATGAGCTGCAAAGTCTTGCTGGGAAAATGAATGTTTGGCAGCCAAATATATGTATTTTTAAATTCATAGAGAAAATAACTCTTACCTAAATAAATGTGATTAAAGTAAACAAAATGAATCTTTTTTATAATAATTTTTTAAGTTTAGTTTTTGAATCTGTTTTACTTTCATTACGATAACTTCAGCAAGTCCCAACCCACCAAACGTTTTTTAATAAATCACAACACACAGAAACTTCAGCATGTGAAAAGCTAAACTTTGTATTGCAGCTGTGTGTCTGATACAATTTTGCAAGGACAGCTGCCTCTGCTTTCATTTATGTGCAGACTGCTGTTTTCCTGCACCAGCTCACCTCCCACAGGACTTTATCAAGTCTTTTCCTCCCTCCCCTCAGCAGAGATCTTTTTACATAAAGCTGTCTGACAAATTCAAGCACTATTACTTTGCTGCTTAAATTGCCTCGTTATCTCTCACTGCAGCTGTTCGGCGATTTCAGACCCTCTGTGATTCTTTCTCAGTATGGGTCCAACTGTGAGAAACTTGTTTGCTTATCAATATTTTAAAACAACACCCCAACAAAATTAAATCAAAATAAAAGATGCTAGCTGGTGAAAAAAAAAGGCCATAGACCATCTTCAACAGATCTAGATCTTCTGAAATGTAAACACATGCTGGAAGATATCTGGGTGTCATTAAAGAAAATAGTTGGATTCAAGAAGTAAAAACATGACATCTTCACCCTCCTGCTGCTCCAATTGACAAAGACAGACAAAAAAAGTCAAACAGATGATATAAAATGTGAAAATGCATCTATAACCGGATTATACAAAAGGCACAAAACCTGGTAAAGTATTTGTTTTTAGTAACAAACTGTTGCCTCAAAAGTGTAGCTTGGAATCAATCAATTTGTTGTACAATCTGAAATACTATATTGTCATTTCTAGGTTACCCCTTTATTGTTTTGGTGCTGTTGTTTAATTATCTGTTTGGGTTTGCATTAATTATTTTATTTAAGCTCTTATTATTGATCTTGGAGTCATCTTGGTTATTTCTGTGTTGTTTATTAGCTATCTGTGCTTTATGTTACTTGCCGGGTCTACCATTTAAGTTTTGTATTCCACGTTCCCAGTCTTGGTTTCTCCTCAGTTTCTCTGTTTACCTGTCATCCACACCTGCCATTCATCTAGAATCATCACAGCTGCAACTCTCTCTCCTGTTTTTCATTTGTGTTCTAATTCTTGTGCATGTGTAGTTCCTCTGGGTAACTTTGAGTATTTGTTTATTACAACTCCATTTCAGATGAAGTTGGTATGTTGTATAAAACATAAATGAAAACAGAATACGGTGACTTGCAAATTAGTTTGAACCTACAAGAATACACTAAAAAAGACAAAATATTTAATGTTCAAACAGAAGAACTTTTTTTGTTGTTGTTTTTTGCGCTTCCCACTGTGTCACACATTTTCAATAGGAGACGGGTCTGGACTGCAGGCAAGCCAGTCTAGTACCTGCAGTATTTTATTATGAAGCCACTCTGTTGTAACAAGTGCAGAATGTAGCGTGGCATTGCCTTGCTGAAATAAGCAGGATGACTGAAAAAGACGTAGCTTTGATGGCAACATATGTTGCTCCAACCTGTAAGTAGATTTCAGCATAATGGTGCCTTCACAGATGTGCAAGTTACCCAAGTGCTATGGGCACTACCCCCCCCCCCCCCCACCCCCCCAAACCCAATACAATCAGAGAGGCTGGCTTTTGAACTTTGTGCTGATAACAATCTGGACAGTTTGTTTTCCTCTTTGGCCTAGAGGGCACAACGTCCACAATTTCCAAAAACATTTTGAAATGTGGGCTCCTCAGACCACAGAACACTTCCACTTTGCATCAGTCCATCACAGATGAGCTCAGATCCAGAGACGCTGGCAGCGTTTCTGAGTGTTGTTATGTCTTTGGCTTTGCATAGCAGAGTTTAACACTTGTAGATGTAGTGATGAAATGTGTTCACTGACAATGGTTTATTGAAGTCTTCCTGAGCCCATGTGGTGATATCAGTTACAGAATGATGTCAGTTTTTAATGCAGTGCCGCCTCAGGGATGGACGGTCAGGGGCATTCATTAATGGTTTTCAACCTTGTTACTGACTTGCTAAGATTTGTCCAGATTCTCTGAAAGTTTTGATATTATGGATTGCAGATGATGAAATCCCTAAATTCATTGCAAATGTACATTGACAACCAAGTGGTGAACCTCTCCCCATCCTTGCTTGTGAATGACTGAGCCTTTCAGGGATGCTCCCTTTATACCCAATCATGACACTCACCTGTTTCTAATTAACCTGTTCACCTGTGGAATGCTATAAAAAATGTAGCATTCCTCAACTTTCCATGTCTTGTTGACCCTGTCCTGTTTGGAATGTGCTGTAGGAATCAAATTCAAAATGAGTGAATACTAAAAAAAAATAAGAAAGTTTATCTGTTTGAACATTAAATATCTTGTATCCAATTGAATAAAAGTTGAAAGAATTTGCAAATCACTGTATTGTTTTTATTTATGCTTTATACAACATCCCAACTTTATTGGAATTGGGGTTGTGGTTTTTAAACTTGTCTGCCTACACTCTTAGACATTCAAACAACTAACAACTACAATTTATTACACATATAGTAGAAGACCAATAACATCAGATAAAACCATCTGAAGGATCCTGCACAGCAGGACCACACGACTGACCTAAATCAGCACTTATTAAAACATGCATGAATCTGCTTTTTTTTCCAAGGAAATAACTTCACTTCCTTTAGGACTTCATTAGAGAAATTCTGCTTTCAAAGTTTCCAGCTACCAACAGCTGTAGATGATTCACAGCAGGATTCAGAAAATCTGAAGCTGCTTTTTAAGTAACTCAAGTCCAACAAATCCCACTGATAATGACTGACTTAGACTTTGGCAGAATGTGTACCATCACCTGACAGAACTCAGAATACATTGGGCCTCATGCAAGAACATGTTCGTATTCTTATCCTAAATTTCTCTTACTTTTGTTCGTACGAAGGGTTCATATGCAGATTCAACAAACTCTTCTATCTTCAGGAAAAGTGTGTAAATGAGCTGCGTAAATTCCACCTGTTCTATCCAGATGCTCGTGCACGCGAGAGATTAGCATAATTACCACCCCAAAAACACCATATAAGGCTGTGTTTCCTGCCTCAGATATCAGGAAGTGTCCATTCATGAAAATGACAGCGAAAACTAAAAAGAAGAACTTTACGAGTTCAGAGATTGAAGTCCATCTGTCAGAGATCCAGAAAAGAAAATCTGTCATTTTAGCAGGTCAGCTGTGGAATAAAAAGAGCTGCTAAAACTGTGTTAAATCATTTTCATTTATTCAGAAGACACACCGTTGCGCAGACCCTCTCAGCTCAGACCTGGTCAGACAGATGTGAGCACCATTGAGCAGGATCAGCTGGTGGCTTTCATCATCAGTTACTGTACCACTGCATTCAAAGAGTAAAATCAGATCAAGTTTTCATTACTTCTGTGCACAAAATTCAGTTTTCCAAGAAAGGCATCTTCTCATACAGGTGGGGAGTCTGGGGGTTCTCCTCCAGGGTATTTAGATAAAAATAGATGCTGTTTCTTGCATTCTGGAGTATTTTAACAGGTTATTAATTTATTAAAGTAAACACTTGACTTCATGTCTATTTAGTATGAATGTTTGAATTATCCTGGTTTTAAACTCACTGCTGGCCGAGATCAGGGAATTAATGTGATAATTTATCAAACAAGTTTAGAGTTCCATTTTACTTTTGATTTAGTTTATTTGTAACACATGACATTGTGTCAAGCAGTGCTGACTCAACTATGTTTAAAAATAAGAATATTAATAATTTTACCCAATAAACAGGTGTAATTATGATAATCACCTAAATTTACTGATGGGCCTATTCATAACCAAAACTGACATGACATCATGCAAACTACAGAAAAAAAAATACTAATTAGTTCCTAAGATTATTAAATAAGCAGCTTTTCATAAGTATCAGGTCATTATTAAGTAATTTTAACTCATAAACCAAGTCTCACCTTTCCTCTTTCTGTTTTTCAATTGGGAGGGGCTGCTCATTGAACGTTAGTTTCATCCACCAGTTGCTGTGAAGGTGGCTGCGTCAGTACCAGCAGCATTTTATGGGGTAAAAGAACAAAAACACAAGTGTCTGTGTAGCAGCTGTCTGACTCGACAGAACACCAGCCGTTTTTATCCTCCAGAACTCACAGACAGCCAGCTCTGCACCCCTCAGTGATCCACAGGTGTTCACCCGGCACCGCATTCTCATGGTGCGTTTAAAGACGGCTCGGAAAAACGTGTTACCGCAGCTTAATAGCAGATTAAACACTTGTAAAGGTAAAAAACGTGCGGGGGACAGAGGGTACAGATACGGAAAGCGAGGGGGACACGTTCCACTCGTACACCGCGTCCATTAAGCCCATGGTCTCAGTGTTAACTCTATGGTCAGTTCAGTTTACCATGCTTCTGTCTCGGACCCCCTAGTGGCCGCGGGGCCCTAAGCAGCCGCTTATTTCGCTTATAGGCAGGCCCGGCTCTGCAAACAGGGTATCAAGAGAAAATCGATTCTGCATCTTTTTTTAATAAAATCCCTCCAAGGGCACATGAAACTGCTCTCTTGTGTCTGATCAACTTTCTTGATTAAATTACCTGGCCTCTATTTCTTATCACATGTACCTGCAGTAGTACACCTCTTTGCAATCCTGTACTCACAGAGGTCTAACGTTTGCTGCAGGGTTTGCTGATCAATGTCCAGCTTACAAAGCTGTGGCTGATGTCTGAAGAAAAACGCATCAAAGATGTATTTATGTTATATTAATGAAAAGACACGAGCCCTTACCATGCTAGCATCAATGATCTGTCCTCTCCCTGACTTCGTCCTTTCCAGCAGTGCTAAGACTATTCCCAGAGCACAAGTAAGACCACCGCCGGCAAAGTCCGCTAAAAGATTCAGCGGAGCATAGGGCTTCTCTCCACTGCGACCCAGTCGGGATAAAAGGCCTGTGTTTGAAGTAAAGCACAAAAACACAGCAATTCAAATATTAGGTTATTCAATTCAGATGACAAAACAGCAAAACTGGAAGGTTAATGGATTTACAAGGGGCTACATACAAGCGTGAAAAACATGAAAGTGAACAAAAGCCCTTTGAAGCTTTCTTTAATTTAGTTAGAGAAATTTGTTGCTGACATTGTTAAACCAGGGCTTCTACAGGACTATATACATATATAAATATATATTTTTTTAAATTACTTTTTTTTGTACTCTGCACTGTTTTCAAAAAGACACTGGAAGGACGTTGGACAAAAAGGACTCTGGTTACATAAATATTCTTCCAATCTTCTTGTTCTGCTCGAGGTGCTAATTAAAGTGACAGTGCAGAAAGTTAAGATGTCTGTTAAATGCAAAAAAAAAAAAAAAAAAGAAATACTGTGATAATTTTCAAAGTCAGCCTTTAAAAATAACAAATGTCAAGATTGTGTTTTCTTTCTCAAACTGAATTCTACTCCCTGCATTTGGCTACAAACAAAAAAAAGTGTTATTTCAAAAGACTTTTTTTCTGCCAATTGCACTCAAGTGTAAAAATAGACCTTCAGTTTTAAAATGAAACCCTTTAATGCCCTTTAAGATGCGGAGAGATACACTTCATGTGCTTAGTGCTTGTCAGTTTTGAGAGCTAGTGCTCCCACCATCCATTACAGTGAAAATATTAAAAGGTTATTTCGGTGCCCAAAGGGACAAACTGGTCAACTTATTGAAATCACACAATCGATTTGTCACAAACCATTACTGGTTGGATTTATAGATACAAAAGGTACATTTAAAAGCTTTTACCAGAGCAGTGTCGTTGTCTGTAAAGTGTCTGGATTTTTGTAGTTCATGAGTGCAGTGTTAGGAAAATAAAAACTTTTTAGTTTTCATTTAAACATAAAGACTGAAACTTTTCAGCATTGTATTCCTAAACAGACTCAACTGGTTTCTTGAAACTGGAATGTATTAATTTAAGCCCAGTACACATCAGTGAAGGGAAAACAAATGACAAACGCATCTAAAATTTATTTGTCCTGCTTTCAGTACAAGGACGTGTCATTCTGATGGCAATGACACGTTCAAAGACAGATGTATAGTTTTGAGAGATGGAATAAGGATTTTGTGCAATAGACTGGCTTTTGCAGGTAAACGATGGTATTTAGCCAATTGTACGCAGTTTTTTGATAAATGTACTTGTTGTTTTGCAAATGCTGAAAGTGATTTGAGAAATGCACCAAAGCAAATGAGGAAAAACTGTAACAAGCACCAAAGCAAACGTCAGTTCTCCCCTTGGCTACTGTACACAACTGAATGACAATTGACAGCAAATGGTACTATAGGAGGGTTGCAAATTACAGAGATGAAAAACTGCATGCATGGGGGGAGTCAGCAACCTCTAAAAGATACATGAGTCATCTGCTTTTGTCACATTATAAAGTGGCAAGTGGTCAAGAATCGCACCTAAAAGGATGAACAACTGTGTGACTTTTACCTGACATGGCAATGTAGTTGATGTCATGTCCAGCTGCAGCAGAGTAAGATCCACTCTGACCATAACCTGTCAACCGAGCGTAGATCAGGCGAGGATTTTCAGCAAGCAACTCGTTTGGGCCAAGACCCAGTTTCTCCATCACACCTGGACAGTCAGAAAGCAAATCATCAGAATCACTTCGATCAAGGCTCGTTTTTTTTTATTATTTTTTTTTTTTTGTCATCGTGATAAATGTGCATTTTTTTATGATCTAAGAAACAGGTCTGACCTTTCCGATAGGGCTCAAGCACTACATCAGAGTGAGCACAAAGCCTCCTGAGCAAAGACACGCCGTCTGGTGATTTCAGGTTGATGGCCACAGACCGTTTCCCCCGAGCCTGTGTGTCAAGAGACGTCGGGGCCTTAGTTCGGTCCACACGAATCACATTGGCTCCAAAGTCTGCCAGAATCATGCCACAGAACGGAGCAGGAGCCAGACCTGCCAGCTCGATAACTCTCACTCCCGTCAGTGCCATGACTTAATGACTGCAGGGTGAAATTAGAGAAAGACAGGTCTAAATTTACACAGAACATTGTGCCATTACCACAACATATTTTTGACCCAAACTGTTTCTGGCACAATAATGTTACACCTAATTAGACATAATATTTCATTACAATTAATTGTTTTTAATAAATGAAGCACATGTTTCATTAATCTCAAAGTTACTTTTCTGAGTAAAAACATAAAACAACATTGTAAATGTTACCATAAATTTAGTACAGACAGATTTTGCAGTATTATAGTTGTTCATACTCGATCTGAATTGGTATGATTGCATTTAGTTTGAGTCATTCAATTTAGTGAAACTAAAAACATAAACTTTCTAATGATACATACTGTGGAAGAGACTATGGATACAAATATTGATTATTAGTATATGTTAGGGTTGGGCAATATTGTCAAAAAAATTAATCACGATTAATTGTGGTATTTAGCCGATAACGATTAATTTGATGATTAATCCACTGGAGTCCCTGAACAGCCTTATGCCCTAGTCACACGACCGATTTAGTGGGAAAGATTTGTTCTTCGTAAAAATCTGTTCCTAATTGTGTCAAAATTACAGATTTCAGGTTATACATCAAATTTAAATTGTGTTGATAGATAAATAAATTACAGAACTTATTTTTTTTTAATATTGGAGAGGAGCACCAAGCGGAATGACTGGAGAAATCTCCAGTCAGTCTGCCTGGTGGCATTAATCGTATTAATCGTCAAGTGCCAAAATATAATCGATTAATGTTTTTCTGACAATTAATTGCACACGATGCTATTATGCCCAACCCTAGTATATGTATGCCAAATTAATTGGTAATAAATATTATGTTTTATAAACTATTAGACATAAAACTATTGTGTTAGTTTGTGCTGTGATATGGAGGATACTCTAGAATCCTAAGAATTCTCAGTAAAGTTTTGAATCGTCACCATTTTTGCAACTAGTATGAAGAGGAGGGGGAGCCTCCTGTGCTGCTCCAGGTTATCTTTAGACTTTAAACTGTGACAAAGTACACTCTTGATCTGATTATGACCCCCGCACACGAGTCATTTTGTTTTAGTACTGTTTATTTTATTTTATTTTTTTCAGTGACTTTTGGTCAACCGTACCACAAAAACAGCTGCACCGATCAACATGAAATTTGGCAGGACTGTAGATGAGTCTGACCTACACTGAGCCGGCCAACGGTTTTATGATAGACCCCATATTTGAGGAGGGGGCTCCTTTCAAAGTGGGGGTGTCTGGACATGCAAAAATGCTTAGAACTCAGAAACTGTTTAGCATAGAAGCTTCAAATTTCTTTTGTTATTTAGCTCTGGTGAAGCTCTATCCATCAGGCCCACCAATCAGTGCCCACCACCCCCCGGAACCCCAACTGATCTGAAAAAGAGGTATCTGAACGTACAAAATGGTTATAGCTCAAAAACTATTAAACACAGGTGCTTCAGATTTCTTTGGTTGTTTAGCTTTGTTGAGGGGCTATCCATCAGCTCCCCCCCACCCCCCAAAAAAATAAATTAATTAAAAAAAGACCCCCACCCAAACCACTATAATTTTGGGATGCATCTAATAGCATGACATTTATTAGGAATAAAGACTTCTGAGTTCTGGTGCATTTGTGCGTGCGGGCTCATGTTACAGCTATGCGGTGTCTAATTGGTTTTCTATTTTATCTTAAAACTGCTGCTTCGCTGCAGAACAAGCACCTATAGCGAGATACTTAATCTAGATAAGTGACATTGAAACAAAGTGACTTATTTTAATCCAAACAGTTTACCTGTGTTTACTAGAAAAGGGCAACAACTGTGGAGGCTCGCGCAAGCTTCACATGTTTTAATTGATTAACGCATGAAGCGGATGGTTGCAATGACCACACAAGTTCACACAAAATGCATTAATTTATACTAGCAAACAAAACTGCACAGCATAGTTCTAATTATCAGACAATGCCTTTACATTTCCGTGTTTATAAACGAACAAGCGAGAGGGGGAAACAATAGTTGAGTAGATGCGCGACATGAAAACAGACAAACAAGTATGTGTTGCTTTGAGTTCCCACCTGTTCGGCTCTTGTGCGGTTCTTGCTTAGAACTCTGAAGAGAGTGATAAAAAGTCACCTAAACATGCAGAAGCTCCCTGTTCTAAATAGAACGCGCTAACTCCGCCTGGTCAGATGACTTCCGGACTACGCCGATATAAAAAACGAGCATTAGTGACTTCCTGGTCAAATCGCAAGATTTCTGGGAAATGAAGTTTTTTAGATAGATAGATAGATAGATAGATAGATAGATAGATAGATAGATAGATAGATAGATAGATAGATAGATAGATAGATAGATAGATAGATAGATAGATAGATAGATAGATAGATAGATAGATAGATAGATAGATAGATAGACAGACAGTCGTAAATTTTAAAAAAGACTTTATTTTTATATGTATTTTGTTTAATTGAGAATAAAGCATGACTTTGTCAGATTTGTAAATCATTGCACCATGTTGTTATGAACTTTGTCAGAAATGAGGTTGTAAAACATATGACTAAATGTAACATAGTGATCAGTGCTGGCGGTGAAAAAACATAACAAAACATTCAAAAAATGATCCATTAAAACCCGACAGAAAGTAGCTACACATTTCACTAGAAGTGCAGCATGCAGACAGTGGGGGGAGACCGGGGTCGGTTGCAACACTTTTTACATTTGACTCTGTTACTCAAAGAGATCGTTTGAATTACACAAACCAAATTTTGATACAATAAGCTTACATCTGTCTGTTAATAATCAAAAACATTTTATAGATGATTAAAGAATGTATATTCTTCACTGAAAAGTTAGATTTTGCAACTGTCCCTGAGGTCGGGGACAGTTGCAACATATTTTGGGGGTGGTTGCAACATATTATTAACACATTATATTTCACTGTAAATAAACGTTTTATTATTTTTACATTTATATGATTGCTAAATTTACAAGAACTGTAAGTTATAATGATATTACAGTGTTATGTATTTATTCTTTATGATCAAAAGACAAATATAGATTTGCCTTGAATAGACCTTATATACAGATGCCAAAGACTCAAATTGATATAAAATACAGTTGGCTTTTAGAGACAAGAATAACAAACAATTTGTGAGGCAATTAACTTTTGTTTTGCCTATTGTCACTGACTGTACGTCTACATTATGCAAAATTTACATTGAAAGAAATTGGGATTTTAAAATCATTGTTGAAAACAACAACTACAGAAAATACATCTTAAACACTTATAAAATTTAAACTATAAAATTGTCATGAAAACCCAATACCTTTTAAAGTGTAAACTTAATTTCAACATTTTAACATCATCTTTATGCTCTGTTTTTATGTGGATTCACCGCAACAACTGTTGCAACTGTCCCCCTTCCTGTCAGCCATGATAAAACCATAAGCTGATCTTGATACATGTTAACTATATTAGTTAAAAGTCAACCTATCACTTGTTTAAACCATATAAGTTTGAGCTGGATCACAAAAACAGTGACAACAGTATAACAAAAATAAAGCTGGGCAAAAAAAAATACTTTGGTACCTCAAAAACAGTTTTGTCAAATAAATTCTGGAGCAGTTTTTGAATCTGCTTGCTTTTTCTCTACAAGGTGGAGCATCTAACTGAGCATGTACAGTGTGAGTGTCTTCCCTCTAGCTTGTTTCTGTTTGGAGAAAAATGACGTGTTGCAACCATCCCTTGTTATTATTGTCCCTGGTCTCCCCTGTTAGATAAAAAAAAGAGCAGAAAATGTGCGGCGTCATTTCTGAGCCCATAGCTGACTCTCTGCTGGTGAAGATGCTTTAATTGGTGTGTGAAATGTTGAGTGGCAGACTGTGAGACAGGAGACAGGAGGAAGGCTGACATCACACTGAGAAGCTTAATGCTTTGTGATGGGTAGTCATTGATTTGTCTCAAACCTTGATCACAACTTTCAAATACAAAATACGTCAAGAATGAATGCCAACCATTTCAGTTCTGAGAAGTCTTTGATGAGATTTAAGAATTTCCCTATTTTGTCAAAACTTCTCCACGAAAACCCGCTTTAAAATATCTTAAATGTCATTTTTTTCAGTAGTATTTAATTTGGTTAGAAAGCAATGGGTGACAGCAAAATCTGGTCCCAGGCTACTTGAAATGTGGCCAAATAATAATTTTATTCTGACTTCAGAAAATATTATTACACAAGTGTTGAGAATAGGTCACAAGCAGCTGGAGGTCACGTGTAATGGAAAACCCAACAGCAGTCAACAGTATCTTCAGCTCAGGCTGAAATATTCTTCACCCAAAACTAATTTTAAAGTGACTCAAATTCTTGATCCCTTCCAGTTGACTGTTTTGTTGTTCCTGTAATTTGTTAATTTAGTAATATTTCATGCTGATCACTCCTATTTGATTTATTGACACAAAACCAGAAATGAAGTTTTACAGAATGGATCAGGTTTATATTATTCTGTTGTGATTATAATGATGTTTTCCAGATATTGGTTTCATTTTGTAATACTTTCATTGCTTATAGTCTTGCACTATACCATACCATACCATACCATACCATACCATACCATACCATACCATACCAT